ATTCCTGTTCCCATTAGTCAGAATGGTAAACTCATGATTCACGTGGCATTTTTAAAGTATACTGAACAGTTCTGCCCTTGAAGTAAGGAAATTCTAATCCCAGATTAACCACTGCCATTAGCTTACCTGATGAACTTTACAATGAAGATCCAATCTTACTGTTCCAATAACTTAACTAGCTCGCAATGAAGTTCTAAATATCATTTACATATAGAAACATAAAAATACCCAGCACTCACTCAGCCAGGTAAAATTCTCAATCAATAAAGGGGAGAACAAGAAATTAAAACTGACCTAGAAATGAGATAGATGATAGATCTAGCAGATAAGGACACTAAAACAATGTTATATATAACTGCCTTTTGTAACTGAAAAAATAAGAAAAGGCTTAAACATGTTAAATAGAGGTGTGGAAATTATAAAAAGAGAACTTAAACCTTGAGATATGTAAGCTACAATGTCTAAGTTGAAAAGTATACTGGATCATTAGCAGAGTGAACAAATAAGAAAAAAGGATTAGTGAACTTGGAGACACAGCAGTCAAACTTTCGGGAACTAAATAAACAGGGGGAAACATTGAAAACAATAAATAAAATACAATGAACTGTGAGGCAAGTTCTAGGGGGTCTATGGTACCTTGATTTGGAGAAGCTGAAAGAGAGGCAAGAGGGGGATTTCAAAAACATACATAAAGAAATAATGGATGAAAACTCTCCCAAATTGGTGAAAACTATAGCCCGCAGATTCAAGGAGTTAAAAGAATTCCAAGAAACAAGAAATATGAACCAAAGAAATCCTTCAACGTCGAATTACTTGGGATGTAGCTCAGCAGCACAGTGCCTGCCTGGCAAGCGCGAGGTCCTGAGTTTGATTCCTGGTACCCCCCCAAAAAAATCACATTACTTAAGGCCAGTGATAAAGAGAATGTCTTTAACATAGACAGAGGAAAAAAAACTTTGCCTGTAGAGGAATATAGATAGATTTATTGTCGGAAACAATGAGGCAAGATGAGAGTGGGACAGTACCTCTAAGGTACCAAAGCAAAGTAAAACTTTCTAATTAAAAGTTTATACTTGTGAAAATGCATGACAAAACAATGGTGAAATCAAGAGCTTTTCTGAAATACATAACCTTAGAGAGTTCTCTAACAGATATACACTGCGAGAAATATTGAAGTTGCTTTAAAAAATGAAAGTGAAAGACTAAGGATGGGGCAAAGGAAACACACTGTGGGGTTTCACATGTCTTTTTTCATTCTAAACTCCAATGGCTGTGACCAGCCGCTTTCCTTTCAGTACCCCAAGTCCTAATACAGTGCCCAGAGGAACCCACACATCCCATGCATTTGCATAACACTCATCATTTCAAGTGAATTCTGAGTGCAAAATTACTCTTTTCTCTGTTGAATAAGAAATTAGTGTAGGAGTTGTGACTCCTTCACGTTTTTGAATGAAATGAGACTGCAAGTCTTTTAGAAGATGCTGGCTGAGATCAAATCATCCGAATGTCAGTTAAGGGGACTGCATGGGTTGTCGAGGGAGTAGAGTGGTCACTTGGTATCCATGGGGCTCAGTTTCAGGATCACCCACAGATACCAGTATCCAGGGGTACTCAAGTCCCTTTATAGTATCACATGAACTTTAAATGATCTTTGGGTAATTTATAACATCGGATGCAATGCAAATGGTATCTAAATAAACGTTATGCTATTATTTGGGATGAGAAGATAAGAAAAAAGTGTGTCTAATACAATGCACCAAGTTTCCTGCTCATACTCAACATGTTTGAAGTGTGCTAGGAATATTGTCTGAAGAAAGGAATATGTCCACAGTGTTTCCTGGTTGACAGGATGCCAGGTAAAAATGCTGCAGCACAAGCCTCTTTCTCAGAGGAGGCTCAGGTCAGGGATGAGAATAATGGTAGAGGGAAGGTTTGGGGCCCAGAGGAAGGCAGAGTCTGTGCCAAACCCTACGGGGTCTCGCGGATTGGGAGCAGAGTAGCCAGTGTTTTGTGGAGAATGGAGAGAGTGCATTGTGGAAGAGGCTCGTTCACCTCCTGGCCAGATATACATGAGAGAGGGGAGTCAGAGAGGCAGGGGCTAGAGTGCCATTGCTACCACTGCCAACGCATGACCAATGACCTAGACCTGCTGCTAGGCCGTACATCTTGCAGACCCCATCCCCTTCAAGTAGCACCAAGGGCTAAGGATCAAGCCTTTGACGTGAGGGCTTTGGACTCACTCCAGATTGACCATGTGACGCTTCTGAGCATGCTATGGTAAAAGAAGAAGGCAGTAACCAGATATGAGCCTTCAGGCTTGGACTTCCCAGACTCAAGAACTTCAGAAAATAAATCTCTATAAATTACCCAGTCTCCAGCACTCTGGTACAGCAGCAAAAGTGATCTCAACAACAAAATCCTAACAAAGTAAGGAAAGGTAAAGAAGACTTTAAAGAAAGGAAGAACTCTTCCAGAAATCCAAAAGACATTTCATTCCTATAGATCTGTAACTATTATAGATATACAGATACACATATGAATATACATATATAGGGCCTATTATGTGGCAGGTGTTTTCAAAACGGCATCACATGGGCCTGCCCAAGTAGCCTGTAAATTTCAGTAGGGAAAGTTTAGCTCCTTCAGTATTCTGTGGTATTCTTTCCAACACTGCTTAAGGCCTCAGCAGGTTCAGAATCTCCCTTCTCTTCTGATGCATTTTGGAATTCTTATGAGTCTCTGCTACTCTGCACATAAGTAAACATATGTGAACACTAATACAAGTACAATCAGGTACATTGAAAACCAGGGTTTTCTCTTGTAGGACAGGCACACAGACAAGAAACAGTAGCCTAGACAACTGTGTTTTTCTTTTTCTAATGTCAGAAAGTGGTGGCTCTGGACAGATGTTCCACTTCCTTGGCAGTCAGCTCCCAAGGAACACTGGGGAAAAGACAGGAGGACCCTGGCTTCCATGGACATACCCCAAAATGTGTTTATTATCTTTGTCATATTCTTTAGACCTAATTTTAGTATCTTTGAGTATTAGTCAGCTCTCCAGTCGCTAGATGAAATACCTGACACTCAAGGTTTAAACCCACAAGATATTTGGCTCATGGCTTCAAAGCATTCAGTCCATAGTCAGCTGGCTCCAAGGCAGTGACATCATTGCAGAAGAACAAGATGCAGCAAAGCTGCTTAATTTGTGGCAACTAGGGTCAGAGCAGAACACCAGAGAGAAAGACCAGAGAGCGGATATTCCACCTAAATTCACAACTCTGCGAACTCCCCAGACAAACCCAGAAGTGTGCTTTACTAATCCCTGAGGTTACTTGCAAGCCAATCAATCCAGCTTGTAATATAGACACCTAACAAGGTCCCTTTTGTCACCTAAGAGACACTGCACAGCACTAATAAATTATGGGTTGAAGTGGGTCCCGGGTAGGGAAGAGTGAGCCCAGTGCTAGCCTCCGGGTCTACTCACACAGGGGAACTTGTCCCAGCCCTGTCACTCAGCAGCCAGCCTCCAGGGAAATTCCCAGCCCCGGGAGACCGGCCCTGTTCACCTGTGAAGCCAATCCGGGCTGTCCAGTAGGGCTGCTGGAAGGGGTGCACTGCGAGTGCCTGGCAGAGTTGTGACCACACTGAATGGCAGGAGGCTGTCACCTGTAATGGGATTTGACCCCACCCCTAGCACTAGCACTTGGGATGTCGCTCTTTGCTCTCAGGATGTGGCGGAGGCTGTGCCACCCTACAGGGCACGGAGAGCACATCGGCCAAAACGGTAACGTTCATGAGTAAAATTCAGCCACTCCTCCCTCTCAGAGGACATGCCACAAAAGCAGGCTGTGGAGGAGTCTTTCCCAGGGGATACAGCTCTGCTCCTAGACTGTGAGGGAAGGAGCAGCTCCTGTTCCTCCCAGCTGATTTTCCACTCTAACCACTACTTTCATTCATACTCCCAAACTTGACCCTTGTTTAGAGGTGTGCAAGGACACTGAAGATAACCTGAGTACAATGTTCTTCTAAGTGATCTAGCCAATATCTTGGCAATGGTCACTGGGCTATTGGAAATTTTCTATCTCCAAGGAAATCCTTTCGGATGATGGATCCGGAAGACCTAATCCATGTTCTACATTACAAAGCGCCTTACCTGCCTGCTCCCACTGCAGCCCACTCTGCTTTGGGCAGCCAGCAGAGGAGACTCTCCAGTCCTGCTTTATGCTCTCCCAGTCCCGAGCCCCCCACCCCGTGTGTCTGGCCTTGACCACTCCGCAATCTCATTGCCATCAGCTCCTCCAGAAGGAACTGTAGTTTCCCAAAACCTCGAACCGCCCTGGCTCTGACTTGACTCAGCTGCTCTTCCTCGGAGTCCCATCCGTCACTATCCCTCACTTATGCTTCATGTCCCAGGGGATGTGACCACATCTCCCTGGCACAGCAGCTGGCCTACCATTCTAGAACGGGTTGTGTCTGGCTCGCCATGGGATCATACTGCTAATGGAGGCTCTTGCAAAGAGCAGGCGGTCAAAAAATATTTGGGTAAGAAATAAGTGATGTTTCATTTATCACAATGTAACCTTGAATTTAAAATGTAAATGTCTTTAATCCCAGCTCTTGGGAGTCTGAAGCTTGAGGATTATCCCAAATTTGAGGCCAGACTGGGCTACATAAGCAAGTTCAATGCCGGCCTGCACTAACTACATAGCAAGATCTTGTTTCAAAAAAAAAAAAAAAAAAAAAAAAGCAAACAAGATCTAGGTGTATATCTTTTAATTTAACTTAATTTGTTCAAGACAGGGTCTCACTCTGTAATTAACCTTGGTTTTAAACTGTAGTCCAGATTAGCCTCAAACTCATGGAGATCCTTCTGCTTCAGCCTCCTGATATCTTTTAATTTTATACAATGATACATTAAAAATAAAAGGAGATAAAATGAATACTGAATTTTTATTAAGTTTTTTCACAATTTCAAAGAAGTTTCAATTCCAATGCCACAAAATGTTGTTACAAATAGCAGGAAAGACTCCCCAACTTGACTCACAAAATACCAAAGCTTTCTCTTAAACATCATAAACAGCAAGAAACATGCAGCTGACAATTTGTAAATGTAAGTTTTGAACTAAACCACTTAACAGGAACATTTTAGGATATGAAGATAAACCCCCTAGCCGTGCGATGGAAGAGTAAGGCAAGGATGACTCACTAACTGCCCCAAATTCTAGCCTGGCTCCTTGCCGCACGCATCACTGAATCATGCTCCCTTACTCAGTGGAGGAAAAGCTGCAACTGGCACTAGAACTTGCACTGGCCAGGGCAGCACTTGTGGCAATTGTAGCTTGCATCCTCTCCTCCTCCTCTCTCAAAGCCTCCTCATACCTGGCTCCAAAGGACTTGGGATCACTCCCACTAAGACTGGCCAAAAACTCTATAATTTTCATTTTGCTGGTTTCAGCGCAGACCCTCGGACCCCACAAGAACTCGTATCGAGCTGGACAGCTGTTGGGCACCTGCTGGTACACCAGGTACTGTTCCTGCAAAAAATCTCCCAAAATGAGGTTCCTGGGGTCCGCATAGATAAAATGTGTTGCTCCAGACCATATTCCCATCACATTCAACATGTGCCAAATGTCCTCTGCAGGGACACGGCCACCACGCAGGAAAATAGTACACAGGAGAAGTACCAGCAGGCCAGTCTTGGGCACGCCCTGAACTTCACTCAACATCCCATCATAGCTGATACCAAGGACAGAGACAAGGACATAGGCGTGGTTGGAGGGCTCCACATCCTTCAACTCAATACCAAAAACCAGCTGCATGCACTCATAGACTTCAGAAAAAATGGCAGCATAGTCGCTATAATTTTGGATGACATTTAGAATTTCTGCCTCTGTCACTAACTCCTTCATTCGATACTTGAAGAGCAGTAAATTCACTAGATTAGTTACCCTGTTATCTCCCTCACCACTAGGTAAAATCTGATAGCCTGGCAGCACCTGGCAAGCATTCACCCCCCCACATGGGCTGCTAACAGAACATGCATCAGATGAGCTCCATGGAGCAGAGACCATAGCGGGGAGGGAGGCATACGCCCCGAGAGGACTCTCAGGGGAAACTGGGTCTCCAGCAGCAGTGTCATCCTCCTCTGAGGAGCTCAAATGTGGAGGAGAGCCCGAGAAAGAAGAGGAGGAGAACGATGTGTGAGAGGAGGAGGGGAAGGAGGAGGAGCAATTGGAAGAGGACAATGAAGAATCCTCCTCCTCCTCCACGGGCACAGGCACCCGAGTATCAGCATGACCTTGGTTGTCATCCTGGGCTTCAGGGTCAGCCTCAAGCATGAAGCAGCGGCGCTTCCGAGAATGAGACATGATGGCTCTGGTGATGGTCAGCAAGCAGGAGCTCCGTGATAGGACTCAGAGGCCTGGCGGAGAGAGGAAGCCCATGAGCAGCCCCACTGAGAACGCCCCTCTTGGCAGCTCTCACAAAGGCTGAGTTGGGGTCCCTCTCCGGGCTGTGCTCTAAGGGCTTGAAGGCTCTGTCCTCCTGGATGGAGGGCATCCAAGGAAGTGAAAGGGCTCTTTGGGTGCAGCTGGCCCACAAAGGACAGAGGTCCAGGAACACAGCAGGGTGAAGGTGGCAGGCACCATGGGGTCCCTCTGTTTGGGGTGGGTGTGGTGTTTAGTGCACATCCGAGCAGCACCTCACCTTAACTCCTGGCACCACCTGGGCTTCCTCTGTGGTGTGAGCTGAGGACGCAGTCTCGCACCAACACCTCACCGTCTGCTTCCTGCAGCTCCTGTAAGAGTTGTGGAGGCCTCAGGCTGAAGCCCTCAGCACAGTCCTGCTGCCTGCACAGGTGGGGTGGCTGGACTTTGCGATGTCCCTGTTGGTATGGGTGTATGGTCCTCTCCCTGCTCACTCAGGGACCTCGATGCCTGGACAGGACCTGGACCCCAGTCCTCTGCTGGCCTGAAGTAATAGGTCAGAACACATGTGAACTTGCACAAGAGGCTACAGAGGGCTGTGAGGGGGCCCCAGATCTGGCCACACCTGCCCTTGGGAGACAGAAAGAGGTGTCACATAAAACAGAAAGAGGTGTTATATGCAGTGGGGCCCATGGGCCCTGGGGAGAGGAACTGGCTCCGGCTTCGCCTGGAGGAATGGTAAGTCTGGGATTCCTCCTGGGAGGACCTCAAGCCACCTTCTCTAAAGCACAGCCACATCTCTGTGAGACACTCAAAGAAGAGGAGGGGGGAAGAGTCTACCCAGGGCCCCTGGGTCTTCCACAGGTGACAGCAGAGCTAGGCTGAGGCCAGGGTAGTGTGTGTCTGGGTATGGAGCTCCCTCTGCCTTCATCTAGACTCCAGGCAGGGCCCAGATCCAACTTCCGCCCTCCAGAGTCCAGCTCCTTCAGTCTCCTCTTCCTCCCTGAGATCAAGCACTCAGCACTAAGAGAGCGGCCCCAGCCTCGCAGCCTTGCCCAGGCTGCCCAGGATGGCTGAGGACTCAGGCGGCTGTGTGTGCAGCACCAAGCATCTGGGCAGGGTGGCCTCAGGTCTCTCTCAGGGTCCTTGCCTGGACCTTAGCAGGTTCCGGGACGCCCAGGTCTGCTGGGCAGATGGGGTTCCTTGTGCCAACCTGCAGACACCCCTGCAGATCAAGTCCTGCACCAGCCTGAGATCCCCAGGATTCTATTAGAAGTGAGCAGGTGCCCCTCTGTCACCCGCACGTGGGGACAGCAGTGCTGACAGCAGGGCCTGTGCCAGTCTCTCATGTGATGAGGAAGCTCCGTGTGCCTCGGTACTGTCTCCATTTTCCTCATGTTGAGGTCTAACCCTCCCCACCCCCACCCTACAGAGGCCAACTGAGATCTCCTCTCCCCTCCCCTGAGACCAAGACCTCCTCCCCTGGGGACTCCCCGCCTCCTTCCTGCCCTGAGCAGAAGGGAGTATGCTGCTTGGGGCCTCCCAGGGCCGACCCCAGGGGACAAGCAGCCACCAAATATTCACAAGTTCTGGGCTGCAGCCACATTCAGTCCCTGGGAAGGATCCACAGACTGCATCTGGCAGCCCCTGGGGTCCTCCATCTGCTCACTACGTAGAGCTCCCATATCTTCCCCTCCCTGCATCCTCCCACCCCAAACAACTTAGCATGAAGGAGAGCAAGTCCCATGCAGCCAACCTCCGCAGGGTCCTGCGGTGAAGAGTGCAGATGCTGGGCTCCGCAGGGCCCCTGTATTTTATCAATGTGTGGCACCTTCCTACTAACCAAAGTTCCTCACGTTGATTTCTGGCAGATTCTAGCCTTGTCCCACTGCTGACAAGATGACACTCCTCACAACAAAACGTGACGTCCTGAGAACAAGAGGACAGAAATGAAGTACAGCAGCTCTGGACACCTCTTCAGGGGTTTCCCCAGCTAACAGAAAGAGCTGTTGCATGGTCTCCTCTGCCTGGAGCATACCCCAGTACTTCGGACGTGCACATGCACTTGCAATCCAAGGCTATCTCCCATGAGCCCGCCTCTTACACAGGGCCCCCTCCTTCCTGTCACCAAGTATCAAAGTGCACTGCCCACCCCCCAATACCAGCTAATCTCAAGGCTGGGGAGGCCCTCTGATTGAGACAACAAGGTCATCTCAACAGTCCTCCAAGTTCTGCCCTTGAGTCCTGGAAGGAGCCCATCCCTAGGACTATCTGCATCTTCCTCCCTCAGATTCAGTTAAAATTGGGAATGTCACTAGTTTCCAAACACAGGCAGCTTGGTCCCATGGTCCTCAGCCCCTCAGGCCCGCCTCATTCTTGCTCCAGCCCGGGGCATACCTTGGTTCCCACCCTCTGCTCAGGGCATGCCTAATCTATGAAGTCCCCCAGACTAGCCTGTGAGCCGGGAATCACCAGCCTGGGCACTGAGCACGAGGCTTTCCTAGATTCAGTAATGACCAGGCTTCTGGGAGAATTCAGAGTCCTGAGACAAAGGCCCCCTCCTCTGTGAGCCACAGTCACACTTGGCTCAGAGCCCACATGGACAAGTTATGGGGCTGCACCTTGGGGCATCGCGCCCAGTGCTTGCCAGGCTGAACCCTGGGGCACAGATCCTCCCCAAGATGTGCCTCTGAGGGTGAGGCACCCTCCTTCCTCCCTCTAGGTGCTCACCTGTGATCCTGGCACAGGCACACGCCCCACCCCTGCTACCTGAGTGCACCAGATCACACCAAGACTCCGACTCCAGGTGGCCTGAGGTCTGCCGTGAGCTGGTCTCCTTCCCGCACCTGTCGCTCTGCTCTCCTCGGTCCAAGCCAGGAGATGGTGAAGTCGCTGGCGAATCAGCTCTGGGGCCCGACCACTGACCACAGAAGCAAAGCAGCAGCGTTACTGTGGGACCCTGCTTCTGGTGAGAGGCTTCCTCACTCTGCCCTCAGCAGCTCCCCGGGACCTAAAAGAGCCTGAGCTTCTCAGCTCCATCATCGCAACCCCAGACCCCAGGACAGGGCTCCAACTCTCTCAGGCCCCAGGGAAGTGAGGAGGGCACTGCCCTCCACTGTGCAGAGCTGACCAGAGTGGCTGATCTGGGGTTCTGGGGGCCGTCTCTCTAGGGCACAGATTCCTCTGTCCTCCAAAAACCCTAGCCTGTACTTAAGGGAACCTGGTGCTATGCATCTCAGTGATTTAAACAAAGCTCCCAGAAGCCTCTATCTTGTGGGGTCCCAAGGAGGGCATAGGGGTACTCTTCTGTGACATTTGCACCTTGAATTACAGCATGAAATAGAGGGTTTTCTAGATATTAGGTATTATTATTGTTCTTATTATTTTTATACCAGGACTCACACTCACAACCTCAGGCTTCTGGTCAAGTGCTGTGCAGTTGCGCTAAATCCCCGACGGAGGCTTTTCAAAATACCTGGGAATATTTCTCGGGCGCAGCTTCCTGGGTCCTCCTTTGGCACCCACCTTTACTAAAATGAGCCGGGTGCTGTCTGCCCTTGAGATTTAAAGCACAGCCCCCATAATTCTCTGACTGTCCTGTGGGGGTCCAGTGAGTGCACTGTGGGCCCTTCTGTGCGAGGTCAGCACCATGAACTGAAGCAGGAAGCAGCGCCTTTTCTGGTAATTGAGTATTATTATTATTATGGTACTGGAACTCATGACCTCACAATTGTCGCGCGGGTGCTAGGACATGGCGCTGTATCTGCGGCTCGACGCTTTCTAGAATGTTCTGCGGCCATTTCTCTCAGTGCGGCTTTCACAGTCCTCCCACAGCCCTCACCTTCCCCTTATCACACTCCTCGTGCCGGGAGCCCGGGCCTCAGCGCCCTCAGCGCGGGCTCGGCCTCGGCCTCCCTGCCCTGGACTCCCTGAGAGAAAGGCTCGACCCCCCAAGAACAAATTGTTCCGCCCCTACAGAGCCCTCAGCCTGGCTAAAACCCTCTTCAGAGTGAGGGTTCGGTACCACGGCCCCTCAGCGCACCCCGCTGACTCTGACTCACTGGGCTTCTCTCCGCTGCTCTCCTCACCTGAGGCGAGAGACCCGGAGCCGGACCCGGCAGCCTGGATCCCCAAGCCCACGAGTCCGAGTCCGGAATGCGGGAACGTCACTTCCGGCGGCGTGTGTGCTGGGGTTTCCCAGGGCAATCGAAGGAGCGGAAGGGCATTCTTGGGGTCCCCCGCTTTCCTCCTAATGATCGGCATCTTGGTTCCGGGCAGGGCCTAGACCCGTGTCCTGGCTGGACAAGGCTCTTAACTCCTGACCAAGGTCTCCTGGGTGCAAAGGGGGTTCTTCGGATGCAGGGCTGACCAGATAGGAAATTCAAGACGGCTGGGGGCCTTCTCTTACAGTTGTGGCTTCTGGACTCCACCCACAGCCCTGCACACGGACCCCAAACAGAGAGCACACATCCTCGGCGCGCGCCACACCTGAAGCCTAGAACGCAGAACGAGTCTCCACACTGATGCCCCACTAGGGCGGAGCCAGCAGAAGCCACATCAGTGCAGGTCCCCTTGTACTTTAAGGGGGTGGTCGCCTTGACTCCCCGCACAGGTTGGGCCTCCGACCTCTCCACCTCCTGGTGCTTGCTCAGGCTCCATGAATCCTCTGAAGAGGTGGCCTTGGGTTGGGAGGGGCGTGGTCAGGATGGCCTGCTAACCATGGTCCCCACGAGGAGTCCAGGGTTTTGTACTTTCTATGAGGTTTTTTGCAGGCGAGAGGCAGATATCTTCATCCTTTCCTTCTGAAAGAACCTACGGCCTCAGCCTCCCGCGTGCTGACATTCCTGACAGGTGCAACACCACAGCCACCATCTTTTGTTTTTGAGACGAGGCTCTTTCTGTAATTCGGACTAGCCTGGAACTAACTATATAGTGCAGGCTGACCTCTAACTCAGAGCAATCCCCCTGCCTCACCCTCCTGTGGGCTAGGATAACAGGCTTGCAACGCTATTGTCCCCACATTTTGTTTTTGAGACAAAATCTGGCTTTGCAATTTAGGTTGCCCTGGAACTCACTACATAGTGCAGACTCTCATCGAAATCATGAAGCTTCTCCTGCCTCAGCCTCCCAAGTGCTAACATTCCTAGATTTCATTACCATGGTAAGCATAATGTTTTCTTTGTTTGTTTGTTAGTTAGTTTGTTTAAAACAACCTCTCATTCTCTAGTTCCAGGTAGCCTGGAACTAACTATGATTACTTACATTAGCAGGCTGGCTCGGAACTCCTGGGCATCCTCCTGCCCCATCCTACCGAGGACTAAGATTCCTGGTATGCACCACCATGCCAACATGTAATTTATTTATTATTTTTTGGTGAATAAAGTCTTGTTCTATAATTCAGACTGGCCAGGAACACACTGTGTAACAAACTCTGGCCAAGAAGTCAAAGTTATTCTCTTGCCTGAGCCTCCTAAGTGCTAGAATTCCTGGCATACACCACAAGAGTGGGCATGTTGTCTTTTGTTTTGTTTTGTTTTAAAACAAGATTTGTTTATTTTTGTAATCGGATCTCCTTCTTTAATTCAGGCTGGCCTGGAACTGACTTTGTAGCATGGGATTTCCTCAAGGTCTTGGTGATTTTTCTGTTTCAGCCTCCCAAGTGCTACTATCCCTGCATGCACCATATTGGCCTGCATGATTTGATATATTTTGTTTTGTTTTTCGAACAAGGCCTGGAACCCACTATGTAGCTCAGTTTGGTGTCGAGCTCATTGTGATCATCCTGCCTCAGCTTCCTGGGTGCCTGGATTACTTGGTTGGTGCACCAGGGCCACCACGACTTTTTTCTTTTAAATCACGTCTCCTTCTGTAATTTAGGCTGGCCTGGAAGTCACCATGTAGCCCTTGTTACCTTTGAACTCGGCCACCTTCCTGCCTCACCCTTCCAAGTGCTAGAAATTCTGGTGTGCACCACAACAGCCAGCACGTTTTGTTTTGTTTTGTTTTGTTTTGTTTTGTTTTGTTTTAAAACAAGGTCTCATTCTTTAATTGAGGCTGCCCTGTAACACCTACTTAGAGCAGGCTGGCCTCTAGGTTATGGAGATTCTCCTTCCTTCGTCTCCCTAGTCATAGGAATCCAGGCTTGCACCATTATGGCCAGCATGGCTTTTGGTTGTTTGGTTGTTTGTTTGTTCATTTGTTTTTGAAAAAGGTCTCCTTCTCTAATTCTACCTTGCCTGGAATTCATTAAGAGGCACTTGCTGCCTTGGAACCGTGGTATTCCTCCTGCCTCAACCTCCCGATTGTTAGTTTTCTGGGTGTGCACCACCAGGACAGGCATGTATTTTTTATAAGGTCTAGTACTGTGAATATGGCTGGCCTGGAACCCACTATGTAGTAAAGCCTGCTAATGAAGTCATGGGAATCCTCTTGCCTCAGTCTCTGGAATCCTGCTAGGATTCCAGATATGCAACACCACAGACATCCTGATTTTTTTGGCTGTGGTTCTTATTGAAACAAGAACTCCTTTGGCTCAGGCTGCCCTGGAACTCACTTTGTGGCACTCGCTGCACTGGAAATTGTAGCAGCCCTCCTGCCTCAGCCTCCCGAGTGCCAGTTTTGCTAGCGTACAGCACAAGGGCTTGCATGGTTGTTTTGTTTGTTTGAAACAAGGACTCATTCTGTAATTGAAACTGGCCTGGAACCCATGGTGTAGCACAGGTTGACCTCCAGGTCATAGAAAGCCTGCTGCCACAGCCTCCATATTGATAGGATTCCTGGGTGCACCACCATGGCCAGCATGGCTTTCTGCTTGTTTGTTTTGCTTGCTTGTTTGAAGAAGGACTCCTTCTATGATTCAGGCTGACTTGGAACTCACTGTTTAGTGCAGGCTTTCCTCTCGGTCTCAGAGAGCCTCCTGCCTCAGCCTCCTGAGTGCTAGGATTCCGAGTTGTGTGCACCACCAGGGCCAAGACGTGTTGTGTTTGATACAAGGTCTTATTCTGTGGTTCAGGATGGCCTGGAATGCACAAGATCAGGCAGTCTGACCTTGAACTCATGGTGATCGTCCTGCCTCAGCCTCCCAAGTGCTAGAAAAACTGGCTTGTGGCCCCAGGGCCAGCATTATTTGACTTTGTGCTTGAGACAAGGTCTTGTTCTTTGCTTCAGGCTGGCTTGGGATCCTCTATATGGCACAGGTTTCCTCAAGGTCATGGACAGCCTCCTGCCTCAGCCTGTAGATTGCTAGTTTTCCTGGAGTGCAACACCAGGGTTAACAATGTTTTTCAAACATGATGTATTTCTGTAAGTCACAATGACCTGGAATGCACTAGAGAGTGCAGGGTGGCCTTGCGGTCATAGAAACCCTCCTGTCTCAGCCTCCGCAGGAGTGCTAGATTTCCTGATATATACCAACCAACGTGTTTTACTTTGTTGTGCTGTTGCATTGTTTTGTTTTGTTTTGCTTTGAAATAGTCTCTGGCTCTGTAATTCAGGCTCGCCTGAAAATCACCACCTACTGCAGGCTTTCCTCTTCGTCACCGAGATCATCCTGTCTCAGTTTCATGATTACTAGCATTCTTGGTATAGACAGCAATGGCATGCATGTTTTTTTTTGTATTGTTTCTTGAAACAAGCACTGATTCTGTAATTGAAGCTGGTGGGGAACACACTGCTTAGCGCAGGTAGGCCTCGAGGTCCTGGAGATCCTCCTGCCTCAGCCTCCCGAGTCCCAGATATCCTGGCCTGCACCACCACGGCCACTGTGTTTTGCTTGTTTCTTTGGTTGATTGTTTTTGTACTATGATTTCCTTTCCTAATTCAGTCTTGCCTGGAAGTCACTCTGGCTCTGTTTCCCCTGGACTGAGGCAGCCCACCTGCCTCAGCTTCCTTGGTGGGCACCACCAAGGTCTGAAACTTTTTCTTGAAACAAGCTCTAGATCTGGAATTATGTATTTCCCAGAGTACACTGTGTGGCACAGGTTTTCTTCAAGGTCACGGAAACCAAAAACCCTCCTGCCTCAGCTTTCACAGTGCTAG